TAACTGAACTGCTAATATGAACCTAGAGAAGAGGTGGAGAACTAAAGAAAGGGAAGATGTCGGTGGGAAAGGGCTTAGAAAGGGTAAGTTCATTTTGCTAAGGGACAGAAAGAGTAGGTAACAGACACATTTGGAGAAAGGCTGATAATGTGCTAGAAGAAAAAAAAAATAATATTTACAGCACAGTAAGGAACTGAGGTGTGAAAATTTGACCAATGGACAAGGAGGATAAACTTTCTGCTAGAGGAGAATGCATAGCTGAGGGAAAAACTGATTGAGAATGAGCAGGATGGAAGGACTTTGAGAACACAGAAAATGCAAAGGGCCTCTTGCAACAAAAACAAACCTTTGAGGTAAAAAAACAGACAGACCTGAGAATTCAGGGAACTGAGCAGGGTAAGAAGACAGGAGAAAATGACAGTGCTAATTTCAGGAGCAGCTGGAATGACAGCATGCAGAAGTTGGAAATTATTTGGCAGAAAGCAGAAAAGGTACAAGCTGAGGAAATTGCTAGTAAATTTAAAATAAATGGAAAAGTGAAAAAATAGCAGCATGAAAGAAAGAAAATTTAATTAATCTTCTTCTTCTTACCAAGGATAGCTTTGGGACAACAGCACAAAACTATTTGTGAACAATTTGGCAAAAGGAACACATTACAGGAACATGACAAGGAAAGAATAGTCAATGGTGAAGATGGTGCAGAACTAGAACACTTTTAGATGACTTTACAAAATTTGTGTGATCAGTGTTCAAACAAAATGAAAATGAAGGTACAGGACTTGGGAGGGAAACCACTGGGAGATAGAAAATTGGGAATGTGGGACATATAGAGTAAAAGAAAACATAATCATGTAGGCAGGCAAATGCATGTTAACTAACCAGATGGAGAAGAAAATTAAACAGAAATAAGAAAGTAAAAGAGGCAGTAAATGTCATTGTACTAGTGCTTAGGAAGAGGCCTGTTAACAAAACATATATAAAAGTCAAACATTATCTTTGTATGGTACCTTTTTGTGTGGGATGAGGGGGTCTTGGGAAACCGGATTGGGAGCTAGGCATAGGCATCTAGTGAACCTACAATACGTATGGAGAAGAGGATAATCTGCTTTATTATTATTTAAAACAGAAGCAAAGAAAACATTTAAAACCAGTGTCTTCACCAGTTCCTAATAGCTTAGTATCTCTTTCTATTGCTCAAAAAAATACATAAGTACATCTGAGACCCAAATTTAAATTATTTATTATGATTATTTTTTAACATTTTATGGATATTGCAGCAAACTGTTATCTACTCAGTATTTTAAAAACTCAAACACAACCCTAAAATACCCTGCATTGCTTCTTTTCATAGTTTTGTATTCAAATTCCTTTTTATTATTGCTCCCATTTTACAAAAGACTGTACATGTGCTAAAAGTGAATCTAAATGAGTGTTACACAAAGAAAAAATAGAACAGAACATACCCCCTTATTGACAAATGCAATTATCATCTATGCTAAAATTATTCCTTACTCTTCAAAGTGATACTTAAAAATAGTAACATTAGATATAACTTCAAGTTGACAAGTATCCATTTATTTATAATAAATAATAAACAAAATCTTTAGTTTTAATTATGATTTTCTTGCATAATTTTTTCTTAAATGCTGAAATTACACTTTGTATTTCAATTATATCACTTCCCTACAGAGCACTGAAGCTTTCCTACCTTTATTTGCTTAGTTATAAAACTACATAGCATGCTCAACACAGCAAATTGAAAAATTATTGTGGATAAAAAGACTATTACCCCAGGCATGCTTAGACACTGAGACACAGAGATCTTTTTGAGAGGAATAAGAATGTATTTCCCCAGTAAGAATGTTTTTCCCAGAACCTGAAAGATGTAAGAGGTGCTATTATATGTTTCATTATGGAATATACTGTATATAGAATAATAGAATATAATAAATATTTTTATACAATGTTTCTTCTATAGCGCATACCAAAGAACACAAAATATAATTTACAAATAAAATGTAAGGACACAATTGAAATTTTGTATAATTGTGACAATATGGTCTTTGTTGCCCCAAACAAAATCCAAGAAAGTACTGGAAAATATTTCAACCACTGGAAAGCTTTTGTCGAGTTTTGCAGATAAAGGGCCCCATCTGTACTGAGCATGCTTTATTCCAGTGCTTCAGCAATGAAGTGGTTCTTTCCCTGCAATTCCTTCTCCTCACTCCTGCCTACAATTGTCATGCTAAATACTGAAATTGGAACAGAATGCTAGAAGTGCTTCCCTCCCTGATATCCAGGCAGGTTCACGAAAAAGAAACAGCAACGTGCTGAAACCAGTAGGGAATGTGAGCCTGAGCAGGGAGATGGGGAAGCAGACACTGCAGATGGAGATGGGAATTGCAACAGGGAAGGCTGGGAGCAGGGAATGTCAATGCAGCTCTTGAAACGACTGGGTAAGGGGAGGAGGCAACAGGAAGGGTCAGACAGAGCCAGGGGGTCATGGAGAGAGAAAGAGCTTGTAATTAATGAAACAATCAGGGTGGCATGAAACTAAGTTCAGAAGAGAATGATGGAAGAATGTGAAGTTGGGGGGAAAAGAAGAGCAATGTAACGTAGAACAAGGAGAAGTGTTGCATTAGCAATTGACAAAAGGTAGGATTGGAGGGAGGAGGAAAAAAATAAGAAGGAACTGGGACAGATACACAGGGACACATAGCAAAGGAGACACAGAGAAAAGGAAATTTATGGTGAAAGGAAATCCTCCTTCCAATACTGGAAATGAACATAAAGAGTCCTGACATTTGGCATTACTTGCCTGCTATTAACTGTTTCCCAAACTATTTCTGAAGCCTGTCACCCTATAATGACTGATTTACATTGACAATATGTTCCTATAGTTACATTTGTCTTGTAGGGTTACATATTGCAGTAGATCTGAAAGTTCTGAACTACTGTATGATGCTTGAGCTGAATACTTTAAACTGAAAGACATGAAAACTGCACTTCTTGCTGCTTCTTTCCTTTTTCTTAAAAACCCTCTGCTTTAGTTATATGTTAAGAGTACAAAGTAGATACAGGAAATGTCAGAATTAAGGTTGCCTTTACAATATGATTCAATATCACAATCAGAAAATATCATGGTCCAGTCTTGAACTAAATAATCATCTGTGGATTTTAGTTTTGTTTTTAATGTCTATCACCTGGGACAGATGAATCAAGGAAAAGCCATTACTGGGAATGACTCCTGTAAATCCTTGATTTCATTTATTGCAAAAATGGAAATACATGAAATGAGCAGAGGATAGCTGGGAAAGAATGCATAGTCATTGTTCAAAAGCTGAAGCATTATTCCTATATAGTTTGGGATAAATCCTTTAGACTACATGCTCTCAAATTTGTGTTACTCATATTATAAATATCCAACTTTATATTTCAGCCTATGAGCAATTCAACAGGAACAGTGATTTGATTACACCTGCATGCTTCTGCCAAAAATGCAAATTATCCTAAAAAATTAGGTCCTTGATAGTTGACAGTTAAGCAATATGTCATCTTAATCTGTATTTGACTCTGTTTCCCAGCTATCAAATTGGCGTACTTCAAATTTCACTTCCTTGCAAGAATGCTCTGAAGATGGAGCAATTATTATTTGCAATGAGTACAAGTACTGCAGCAACTGGTGCAGCAGCATGGCCTCCCAAGAAATTAGAAGTCTGTTTTAGCATCAAAAGAAGCAAAAAAATGTCTGTATTATAACAAAATGAAATAATGGCTGAATTCTTACCAAATTAATTATATCAAATGCTGTGAATAATGTGCATGTTTTACAGGAAGGAAGGCAGGATTCTGGAGTAACAGACTTCATAACATGTATTCACTTCCCAGGCAACATTTAATCTGGCATATTCCAACTTCTGTGTTATTGACTCTGCAGACACAACTTGCTTTAAATGTTTTTGTTTATATATGCATGTTTGTCTTTCATAAGAACTTATTGCATCTTTGGTATTTGTTTATATGTTCAATCCGTTAAAAGCTTCTTGACTTTTTTATTTTGTTGTTACAGCCTCCTTGTGGCACATCAGTAACAACTCCTTGGAAGTTAGGAAATGTGATTAAATAACACACAGAAGATGTCAAATGATACTGTTAGGATGATTGACTTCAAAATGCAAAATAAAGGCAATTGAGTATGATTACTGGAGCTAATCCTTTTAGGCTTGCCTCTGAAAAATGCACCTTCATTTACCATTGAAAACAATTGCTATTTTTATTGCTTAGTATTCATGTAGGTAGATTTAGCCTCTTGATAAGAAAAGATATTATAACATAAATACTATCTTCAAAATTTGCTCTTTACTAATATCTTGATGTTTGCAATGTATATATGCATTTAGATTCACAGGGGAAGTAATATGGCTCTCTTTAGTATTTCATGTATAATTTACTCAGCAGATTTGTTTTATTAAAATGTAAATAATGGGATGTGGTAAATGAAAATTCCAAGATGAGAATAAACAGCTTATTTATTGTTAATGCTCAGAGTAGCTTATTGAAACATACCTTTCAGTAACTGCCACTGACTATTAGCTATGAAATTCTCATCATGCCTTGAATGTTGCCCATTAGGTTTAGCCATTTGTACAGTTAAAAGGCTCAAGATGTTTCAAATATACCTTTAAAAACATTATTAACTCAAATCAAACTACATATTCACCAAAACTGCATTCAGCATGTCTGAGATTGAGACCAATACTCCTTCAAATTAATTATTCTTCTTTAATTGCTCTGTATAAACAAAAATGACCTATTAATTTAAAGAAAATCTATCAGCACAGAATGTATTCTCTCTTATAAACAAGCAAGATGAACTTGACCTTGTTTGAACTTGTTTTGATGTGGCCCAGATGGTAGGCTACATGCTTGAATAGCAGTCTAAAGCTGAGGAAAAACTCATATAGCAAGATCTAGATTTATAGCCTTTTGCAAATTCCTACCTTGTATTGTCCTTTCAGCATCTGTTCTGCCCCCGCTGCGGTCAGCTTCTATCTCTGGGGTCAGAGAGTCTAGAAAGATAGAAAGGTAAGACTGACACATATTTCATTTGCTTCTTATAGCCCTTTTTACAACCTGTTACTCCAGTGCTGAATTACAATACAATCAACCTTTGTCAGTTTTTTTAATGTTGAACAATGACTGGAGGCCAGGACAATTTTTTGTTAGACTGAGAAGATTAATGAGCAATAGATTTTTCAAGCATAAAGGGGGGAGAAAAAAAGGAAGACAAAAATTGACTTCTCAAGCTAATAATATAAAATTGTCCTAGTTTGAACATTCTCTCCAGTGAGTTTATTTGCACATACTATATAAAGTAACAAAGCAAAAAAGATTTAGCTACCATTTGAATGAAGGAAAGAAAAGAGGTTTTCCTTTTTTTTCCTTTCCATCATGTTATAAATTTTTAATATAACAAGATTCTTTTGGTACTTAAATTGAAAGTTAATGGCACAGAGGCAAAAATTGGCTTCTTACCATTTAGGACCCTGAGACTATCTGTTGAAGCTGCCTGTTTCAGTGTTTGCTCTGCTTGCTCTCGTCGTTTAGTCTCAAATTCAAGTGCTTCCTGCAATTTCCTCTTTGCCTTCTTTTCCTTCTTTAGCCTTTTCTGAATTATTGCTGTGAAAGGAAAATAACATCAGTGCACTCCAGTTTGGGTCTGAAACTTGGCTGCACAATGACCTATTAAGGGTCCTGAGAAACACTATAACTGAGATGTTCATATAAACCAATTAATTACACAATAACCAGCTAAATTACTTGAAATTTGTTGAAATCACTCTGGAATATTCTGATTGCTACTGTTCTATATGACAGTATTGGAAACTGTATGTGGTACCAAGCAATGACTTTTTCTTTTTTTTTTAATAAACAGCTGAGAATCTATGAATTTTCAAATCAGAAAACCTCGGAAACCAGCAATGGAATGTACTTTTTGAATTATCTGACATAGATAAACCCCCGTCTATGGAGGTGAGGGGGTTTTCAGAATTAATTTCATCATTTCTATTTCCCATAGCACAGTTAACAGACACAGGGTGATGGAGTTCTTGCCTCCCTTCAGCTTCTCTTCCATAAGAGGGGGATCCATCTGCCTGGATCCTGAGCAGCCTCCACCCTCCTCTGGTCCTCATTTCTTGGGAAATGCCCTGAGACTTCTAACTCCCCTCCAAGCACTGCTTCCTGCAAGCCATCTAACCTCTTGGTGCCTGGTCTCTTCCCCATATTTATTTCTTTTCCACATTTCCATTGTGTCTTTCCCTTCTCTCTTTCTTGCTTTCTGTTGGTGCCTGTCCCATCAGCCATCTAACCTTGAAGAACTCATAGCAAATCCTTTATGGTGCTGGATTCTCTGGTCAAGTAAATATTAATATGCTTTTTCAAATGTAGGGGAAAATGTCAGTAAAGAAATTAGTATTTTGAAATAAAATATAGAAAGTTCTTATGTAGAAAAAAATGTTTTTCTTTAATTTCTTCAGCTTAAACTTTTTAGGAAAAGGATGGCATCTCCAGTATGGAACTTCATCACTATTTTCTTTTCTGTGTTACCAGTGACTTACAACCACAAAGGTAAGACTTGTAAGATCCCTAACTAAAGGAACATATTACAAGTTATGCTCCTGATGGAAAAGGGTAAAGTCAACCAATTTTTCTACTCCATTAAAGCCAAAGTGGATCTCTGAAGCAATCATGTAAAGTTGTAAAGCACAGCATTATCTCCTCCACCACATTCCAAACTGTTCTTATATAGCACATTTAGGGTTTTCATGGATGTGAATACAAAAAGCTTCTTCTCCTAAGATCTTCCTGGATAATCCTTTCCAGGAGATTCTGTTATTTAGACACTAACGAAAAAATTATCACTAAAGAATTCTTATATGCACCAGAAGAATTATCCTTACCAAACCCAGACACCAGGAACTGTTAGGTTTGCATGTTGAGATCTTTCTAGCCCTGTATCTCACTGCAAAGTAACCTTTGGTATATGCCTAGGAAAATACAAAAAATACTTCCACCAGTTCATACTTCCCAGCGACAGTGGACTGTGATGGTGGTATCATTCACAAAATGCAAATAATTAAACTTTTAAAGGGAACTGTCATTGTTATTACCCTTTCATTCATATGCTAAGAAGAACCACCTTTTAGATGATCTTGTATATTTTGTGCTGCTATACAGAACTGTTCAGGCACAAAATTAACATAAGCACATATCCTGTAGTCAGAATAACTACATAATTTACATCCAAGACTTTGGAATTTTGGTTCTTTCTCATTTTGTACAACACCAACTACTTTACAGGCTAATTAGCTCATACTATCAAAGAACATCTAGCATCTACACAAAGGCTAAACTAAATACATTTTGAATCATTGCATGGTTTTAATGTTTTCATTATAAGTACTTTGAAAGTGATTGCAATAAATGAGAAGGAAACATATGTTGCTTTCTGAATTAAAATGTCATCATGGCTGACACATTGTAGATGTGACTACAGCAGTCAGAGCCAGAATTAGCAAACCCTTACTGTGTAGCTGCTCACAGAAGAGATATTATCCTACTTTCACCAGTTGATGAGACACATCCTACAGCCTTAGGAATCGCTAATTGGAAAATTTAAAAAGAAGGAAGGAAACAGTACAGTAAATAAGCAGCTCTGTAGAACGTACAGTAGCAGCAGTGAATCCAACAGTCCATAAAGAAAGGCAAAAATATTCATCTACAGCCACTAAACAGAATTATATTTGAGTTGTATTAACATGATGAGCAAAACATAGATAGATGTTGCCTAATGCTGAAGATGCCCTTCACATGAAGGGTTTGACTTGTATGTGACACAGTGGCTTGTGTTTCTAGGCTGCAGCTTTTAAGTGTTTTTTCAGTATTGCCATACGGTATCTCGTCACTTAGCAGGGAAGCTGGTACATTTCTCCCTTCTTGCTCATGCTTCCATTAAGACATGAAACCTTCTTTAAGACATGACACTTGCTATTTGAAAAACTAATAGTAGGTAAAGGCTCCTATGCATTTTTCTGCCTTTAATTGAAGAATAAATTTTCACAATAATTACAACCTGGCCTTATTTTTTCTCTCTTACTTCAATCTGTTTATTTGAAAGAATAATCCATACTTTTCTTTCTTTTATCCAGAAGTATCCACTAGCAGAGATAGTCATCCTCATTATATTTGGTTTGCTGCATACCACCATTAACTGTTCAAATCCATTCCTCTTTGGTCTGTTTTCCCAGTGCAAGATTGTCATTAAGGGATGAATATACAAAAGCAGGTAATGCATCATGCTGAAAATAATATGGCCAATTATTTCAGTAACCTGAACACAATAAGGGACTATCCCATGTTTTTTTTTCTGAAATACAACTTTGAGTGAAATTCATTTTGCTTAATTTTATCTTTTCAAAACACATATGTCTAGCACAGCCTTGCCAACTGTGTGACCTCTGGAGTTAAAGGGAAGAGAAAGAAGTCTTCAAGTGCGACTGATCCCACCTACCTATCTGAGAACAGGCCATACAAGTTTCTTTTTTTATTGTCCAGAAAGAGGACTTCTATTCATTAAAATGAGATGCTTAATTTGTATGGCAAAACTAAAGATCAGATGGGTTCACCTTCAAACCTTTTCTGCTTTTTATGTGATTGTACAACTCTAAAAAGGAACATATATTTCAGCAGTTGTGAGAAAATTGTGAAGACTAACCAAATTACTTTACTCTTTTACCAAGTTAATTTAAAAATATAAGTAATACAATTGTATTGAGCAGAATGGACCAGTTGTGGACAAAGGGATGACTCATGGCACAGGTGTGATAATTGTTAACAGCAATTGTCTTTCAAAATATACTCTCATAAGTTAAAAAAAAGGGTAATTAATGATGTGATAGTCCTACCCTTTAATGGGTCGAGGCACGAAACAAGATTACATTATGTACGTTATGTACTCACTGCTAGCATGTTAGTTTAAGGCATAATGACATTGGCTGTGAATTCAATTGTTCTTGGGATTCTCTGTTTAGGTGGTTACCAGAAAATTAAACTGGACAAGAAAAGACTTGTAAATCCAGCCCTGCAAAAAATACACATCTGACTTGTCATGGTCTGAGTTAAACAACAAGGGAGTTCCAGAGGTTAACTGTCCCTGCAAAGCAATCAGGCACTATTAAAAGGTGAGACGTACAGAAACAGAGAAATGAACACATGAAAAAAGATAGAAACATGCTTGTAATGTAAATAGTTAGGGCAAATCACTCCAAACTGCCTCACCTTCATCATCATTGTAATTATTTAAAAATCTCTTAACACATACAGGCTTTACAGTGGGCTGAAGTTAATGCCACAAATGCTACTAATGCTTCTGCTTCATCAAGAAAAACCTTCACTGTTACTTCTACAAATGTATTTTACCTACTATGCATTATAAAGATCTCATATATTTCCATTATATTTATATTTCCTACACAGATCTTGCCTAAATACGCACTGTAAGAACAGAACAGAGTTCCTAAAATCTTGCAGAGTCCTAAATTTGATACAAATTGTATTAAGTAGCTATCCATTTTCCTAATGATCACGTTATGTGTTACAGCACATAGGGTATTTATAATTGCTTTTGTATTACTGATGTAACAATATTCAGGAAAAATGTTGAGAAAAGGGAGGGTCCTTGCTCCAAGTCTAATGAAGACCCTATACAAAATTAGGCAGGTTATAAAACATCCCTTATTGCAGTCAGCTGAGACCTAACATGATTTAAGGGAGGTAAAATTTTGATAAAACATAAGTGTTTTATAGAAAATTGTTTCCTAAGGAAATAAATAACAAAGTGTTTATGTCTGCTTAATCAAGGTACCTCTGTTCTTCTGCTCCACAGCCAACTGTTTTTCAAGTGTTTCCCTCAGTTCTCGTTCCCTGAAGAGTTCCATCTTCAGCTCTGTTTTTTCCAGTTGGACTTGTTTCTCTTGAGCTCTGGCATTATCTATAGCAACCTTTAGTAGACCCTGTTCAGAGATAAAGTTGGATATTTTGAGAATGTCAGAACAGCTGACATAACAACTGACTATTGTTATTTTTCCTTGATAGTGATGTAATATTTTAGAAATAAAAAAATTCTGTCACAGGAACAAAGTTACCTATTATCAACAGCAATTTTTAACTGGAATTAACTTTTTAAGAGGTGGGCAAGAATCTGTAAAAAGATGGGAGTCAGCTTTTCTTAGAACATGCAAACTCACCTCTGACTGTGCATATAACTCATGTGAAAAACATACAGGAATAGGTTTACTCCTCTTAAGAAAAATTGGCAATCTCAAGTCACATCATACACAGAATTCAATTTCTAGTCCAACTCAAGCCAATAGAAATTAGCTAAAGGAGAAAGGCTCTTTTAAAGTTGTGCCTTCTTGCTCCTCATCCTTGTTAATTACTATTAATTTCAAATATTTACATATATCATTAAGGTTCCACAGACTATAGGAATATTGAGATAGTAAGGAAAGGACACTCACAAAGCAGGAAGACATCTCTGTTTTAACAAGTCTGTTCCTTGATTTGTAGGATTATTATCTCACAGAAAAACAAAACACAATCATCTCTTGATTTCTTGACCTGAGATGGTGGATACAAACTCTACCTTTCCTCCTGTTGCTAGTGTATCAGGAAATAAAAATTCAGATTATTTTAAGCTTCCTTTGAGAATTTCAACTTCAAAATTCCTTCTTCTTTTGCAAGGAAATCGGATGATCCTGGCACAGCTTACAGCATATTATTAACAATATTAACTACATAGCTAGGACACCGAGACAGGGCATCAAAATTTAAGGAGAAATGAAATTGAAATAAATGAGCATGCAAATATCCTTTTCCCTTTCCCAAAAGCCTGACCATCAGGCTCTTGGGTCTACACCCGAATCTCTCCTACAGACGCTATCATAATAAAGTAGATAATTAAGTGTGGATATTCATACATGAACCTCCATGGATATGTAACTAACTCCTATATCCTAGGCAAGACTCCTGATAACTTAACCCTAGAGATAATTTGACCCAACAGAGATTAATTACTGATATAAAGCAAAACAATGCCAGCTAAAGAGACAGACCACTAGTCCCCAATGGTTTTGCTAGGGAAACATTCAGATATAAGGCTCACACTCAAGATCTGGTTTGAGTACTACAGACATAAAACCATGATGCCCCTCTCCCAAACAATCTTCCTCATCCCTCAGCCACACTTCTTAAATTGGATTCTGGGTTGCATGTTTTTTTGACTTTTTTTTTTAATATCTCCTGAAGAAGAATAGAAAAAGAAGCAAATATAATGATATTTGAGAAATAGAACAAATATTTTTGTGAGTCTGCACATTTATCCCACTAGTCTTCCCAGTGTCAATGATTGGTGTGAAATTTGTGTCCTTCAAACTCCTCTTTTAGTTCTGTTTTCAGAGCCTGTTATTTTCAGTGCTCCTCATCCTTCTTAAATTGTTGCCTCAAATCTTGTCATGTTTAGAGCTTAATGCTCTGCAGCTCTGTTGCACTTCAATCTATTGAAATCCAGAGAAGCTAGAAGAACTCAACACCTTCTGATTGCAAGGCCCAGATGGTCAGCAAAATGGTATGCACTAAATAAGAACTGAAGCATGTTTGGAAATATGGTAACAATGGTAACACAACAAATGTCCTCACAAATATGTTTAAAGTTTGAGCAATTTTCTTTTTGCTGTTGAAAAATAACTAAATCACAAACATCTTTTGGGTTGAATGTTAAACCTGAATGATTACTAAAGAAAAACAAATAAATCTACCTGAAAGCTCTAAGTACATATGTAAAGCAAAATCCAATTTGAAATATTTGGAAAGTGTTTACAATCTATTTTTCATAAGTTAATATTAATTTGAATTCTGTTCCTTTTCCTTGGCCATATTCTCCTATGTTTGATGCATTTGAATTAGAAAGAAACTGAAGTAGGAGATGTTTATCAATACCCGCTTCTGGCTTATGCTTAAACACTAGTGTATTTTAATCTCCTTCTATTCCTAACTCGCTGGAACATGTGATTCATCCAAATCATAAATAAACCAGATCAAGAGAAATTACATTAAACGTATTTGTTGATGAAAAGTGTATTGTCTTGTAAGTTAAAAGCTGCAAACACTGTCTTCCCAAATTCTAAAAATCCATCTTGTTTAACAATAAAATCAAGCTGCTAAAGCAACTGCCATCTTTACTCAAATCAACTACATTCATGTACATGTTTCTTCTTCATCAGGAACAAACAATTAGTAACAAATGAAAGAGATCATTATATCAAGTGCCCTTTTAGATCACCCCAATTAAAACTTTAGTTTAGCTGTATTTTAATTCTAAGATACCAAATTCTAATTTTCTGCTCTGATTGCTCTTGTTGACTTATCTTTGAAAGATGTACTCTCAGTGCAAAGCCTAGAGATTATTTAGCAAGATGCCAATGTTGGCATCACTTAATGTGTTGATTGGTTGTATTATCAGTAGCAGTTTAAAATAAATTACTATTAAACTATTATTGTCCTTGGCTGAGAAAACACAATATTTTGGTGTTCTTTAAATATGAAACAATCATGATGAATAAACATGGAGAATAACACTAGAGTGCAACACTGATGTGCATAATTTTATATTAAGAATTGCTGCAAAGTATGAAGCTGCTAAAAGAATATTACATTTTCTGTTGAGTTTCTGCACCACACTTCCTCCCCCAGCCTTTCATTTTTTTTATACTTGCTAACATAGCTAATGGTAATATATTACCTATTGCTGCTGATTATGTCTGAAAAATATTAGCTTTTTGGAGCCAAGATTCACTAGGGACTACTTATAAGCTACACAAAATTAAGTTTCATTTTTAGAAGTTAAATCAGTGCACATCAGTAGGCATCCAATGTGAAAAAAAATCTGCACTAGAGCCAAACTGATGCATACAAAAAGTGCTGTTGCTGCCAATGACAGCACTAATGCAAAAATACTGAAAACATTCAATATCTCCCTTTATTCAGTGCAGAAGGGGCTGAGAAAAACTAAAAAAATACATCTAAAAAATCATCAGTGCCCCCTGGAACAGGAATAACAATTTCAGAGTTGCATGAAATTCTATTAATTCTCCCAGTGGAACAGCTGTAGAAGATTATACAAAATGCAGTATGTCCAACTTGTATGTGCTACAGCTAATCCTCTAACCTGATATTAAATCAATATGCTGCCAATGACAATGGGAAATGCAGTGCAACACAGGACATTAACAAAAAGAAAATATTTCTCTTTAGGGAAGGTCAGATGTTATGGAGGCTGGATAATGATAATTGCAGTGAACACGCTCAGGTTCCAGATTTTAATACAGTATGGCTCTATCTGGAGCCTGGCTTTAAGCAGGGCAGGCCGCTCTTCTCAGTGTCTCTCTTAATTTTTATTTCAATGTAATGCCAAAAATGGACATTTCATTCCCTGGACATTTATAGATCATTCTGATTTGTTTACTTTACTGTACTTGTTTTAGTATTTTCACTGACAAATTCTTTGGAACTGTCTCAAACACAATGCTAAGTTGATATATGAGTTTCTTCCCATTGTCTGATCAGAGAACACCTCATATAAAGGCAGCCTTATGATCCTACTTCTAAACTAAACATACATCAAACCTCAACTCAGTCTTAAAACCAGTAATTCTCATCACTATTTTTAAATAATGCAAATAATGTGTTGCCTACTTTTAAAGGGGTGGAGGGGAAGGTGTATAGAAGCTCCTTCTCTTTCTAGCTGCATCTATAAGTGTGTGTTCCAACCAACAGAATTTAGTTGGCTACGCATTTATATGTGACATAAAAATGACCTTGCTAATTAGTTTGACAGTCTGTCTAGTAGATCATATCCTGTTTCCAACAATTGCCCACACTGAGTGAAAAAGGGAAACTAGAAGATCGGGGCATGAACATTAGGAAGCTTTCCTATTCAAAACTCCTGGCTTCCAGAGGGTTGCAGATCAGGGGGTTCTTTCTGCAGTATTAGCTATTCATGGTGAAAACACTTTCAAACAACATTGCTTCTCTTTTAGTACGGAAAAGATATATAATTTGTATGCTGTCATCATTAAAAGCATACAGTGAAAGGCTCTAGAAAAAAAATATATATGTACAATTCTAGTTAACTTCACATGTTAATTTTTGAATATCTGCTATTTATAACTGACTAGTGACTAAGTACTGTGAACAAGACAACATGGTTAAAATATCTCCAGAGATGACTCCTGAAAGTGAACTTTTTTAATATCTCAGATTGCATACTTCATCACAGATAAAGGCATACTTTACAAGTATAAATTATATTTTCCATTAATATTTTCTGTGAAAAAATGAAACAATTCTCTTGAATTTTAGCAAAAGATAGATAAAACAACATGAAGTAAAACTGGGATTTTTTTTACTTTATCTACTATTTGCAGTGTTTTGCCCTTAGTATTGATAGACATTAACAGTGCAGGTGACTCACAGCAATAAAGCTAGTTGTTTTCTTTGTTTTCAGAGGGGAATTTAGTTTGCAACCATGCTTTTATTAATATCAATGGGAAACTTGTAAGTTATTTTAGGTATCTCTTTAAAAATATTTAGCAATAAAAATGTTTCAATGTCTTGATAGAAAAATACAGCTATCATGGCGCAACTATATAATCCCTTAGATATTAATGGAAATTCAGCTCAGGGACAGTAGAGATTCAAAATCTAAAAGCTTGAAAAAACATTACTATTACCCAAGAATATTGTAGCATCATAAAAGGCCGTGGCTGTAACACACTTTGGCATAATCAGGCCATGACTCAAAAAGGTAAACTTATGTGAGGGGTACAGAGACATCTTTAGCCTTCTCACTAGCACATACACAGCACTTTGCTGTGACTCACTTTCCTCCACCCTTCATCCTCCCTGCAACTGCACTTAGACTTCCAGCATTTAACCCAGAAGAAATCTACAAATACACTTTGTGAAAAAACAGACGTATCACTTGATTTAAGTTCTCTGGGGAAATTTATTTTCTCTTCCTTTTAGATGTGCAGATATAAATCCAAATTAGAAAATATATTCCCAATCTTATTCTTTTTTTTAATGTGTGTATTTTCTTAATTATATTTTTTAAGAGTTTATTATTTGTATTTCAGCAGTCCCCAGCAAGAACAACACTGGTTATTTCAGGTATTGCATATTGTTATTATCTCCTGTTTAAACGTACAAATAATTAAATATTGTATTTTGCTTAAAGAAATATTTATGGAGAAGTAAAAATAACCTCATATACCTGGTATACAGAAAGACATACTGGTGACAGCAAAAGCAAATAGGCTAGTTTAATATTTGCCTAAAATTATGAATTTGTGATTGGGGCTATCCATTTAACTTTAGTATGGATGGAAGAAAGAGACTCACTTTTGCTCAGAGGTAACTGCTAAAAAATTACTCAGACTACTAAAACAGGATCATAGTTAGGCACTGTAACAAGTTCAGCTGAGCTCATCAGCATCTGCAGGACTACAAGAACATTTGTTTTCAAATAACAAAATGTTTAGAAATTTCATTCACACACTCAAAAAGCACTGTTACAATGACAAGATTTAGGATCCTTTTTACCCTGTCTCAATTAGAGCTCCTAGTGCCCATATAACACCCTAATCCTGTTCTAGGTCTGTATTATTCTGATCCTGCATCACAGAAGGGGATCATGGCAGAGACATCCACTGTCAAGTCCATGCAATTTGGTGCAGCCAGAAGCTCCTTGCCTGTATATTCCTGGGATGATCACATCCCGAAAATTGAGGCTACCTCCAGTGCAATATGTGCTAGCTGAAGGTGCTCCCCAGAGCCATGACCTAACAAAAAATGTAGACTTGCATTTCACAAGCAGACATATACCCTTTCAGTGAAAGGACACATGCCTATTTTCAGCATGAATGACCCTGATGAAAAAAGAGCAGCGTTTACCAGATCTACTCATTAAGCCATTTGAGGCTTCATGAGTAGATCATGCTTGCTCCACTGCTGCAACAGGAGAACAGTGAGGGATCACACTGCTCCACCTTCCCATGGAAACCACCTCTCTGTTGAAAGGGATGCAGAACACATCAGGTCCAAAGGACAGTAAGGAGTTATTGACTCACAAAAAAAAGTCCTTCTAATTCAGGTAATAAATGCATCATGGGTTTCAGGTACGGTTTATGCATTTCCTAGCAAAGTTACAAATCACAGTGCAATCAGGGACCATGGTACAGAATTACCTCTTCCCACAGATGCCATCAACAAATTTGAACTTGTAATCAAGTACCTAAAACTGTTCTGGAAGTGTCAGCATCACAGTATCTAAGTCATTTGTGGCCATGGGGTGACCCCATCTCATTGTAATAGCAATGAAATATCAATATGGAAACCATTTTAAATGGTATTTATTAACAAAACTGCCACTATTGTCCATATGATATTGTAATATACTCTACTGCTGTTAAAGTCAACTTTTCCTACACAGATGGGAAAATCAAGTAATTTTATTTATTTTCTTAATTTATGAAGTGGATTTCTGATGTTGTCCTGATAAAAAACCTGGAGCAGAGGTAAGGGAGGGAAATACCTTTCATATACTGTTATGAATGGATTACAGGAAATCTGTCAAAACTATGTATTGTGATGTGGGGACATACTGAAAAAATTCAGAAGGCCTTATGTCCCACCACTTTCCATTAATAGATGATTTGTCATGATATGGAATCTCAAGGAGCAGGACATTGAAAAGTGCTACAAGAGAAGGCACAAAAAAGTTTCTGGTTTGTTTATGATGTTGTCTTTTATTTTATCTTTTCATTCCAGGTAAGATTAAGAGTATTAAAAAAAAAAAGCAATGACTGAATTTCACATTCACATTTTCTGTAAAACAAAACTGAATGCATTGTTGGCAAATTAATCCTGGTCATTTATTTTGAAGTAGTGCAGCACCCTCATATTCAATCACGAATCAGCTAACCTGTTGATGCTGAATGCTTTGCTCATTAGGATGCCGTCTAGAGACACTGAGTGCAAACATTTGTCAAAATAATTACTAAGAACTTTTCTGTACATGTATGCACAGCTAAAAATGTACTAACTACATTTATGCTTTAAGAAAAAAATACAATCTTTACAGATTGCAGCAGATACATTACAAGAATACTGCTATGAAGTTATCTTGGTTCATTATTTAAATATTTAAGATGCTAAGTCTCATAATTGCAAAAAGTAATCATAAATATGCTTTTTCAGACCAGGAAGAGATAGTAATATTTACTTCTTAAATAGCAGTATTTTTCCATTATTAGACCTCAAAACACAACTAATGAATGGCTCATATACTTTTCATAAAACAATTCTGAAGTGCCATAAACTTTAATGAGATTGCTTCAGACAGTAAAGTGAGCAGGATTTGGCCCTGCTCCGTCATATCCTTCGCTGCATAGAATACAATTGATTTTATGAGTTTGCAGGAATGAGCAGAAAATATATGGTGACAAATTGGAAGTTGGTAGCTGCCCAGACAAGGCTTCTCTGGAATATGTAATATGGCTGTATTATTTCTGGCACTATCATTTTGCTTCTGCATGCAACAATACAACCATATTGTTGCAAAATTTGCGTATGGGAAACACAAGATAACTGAATTTGTGGACAAAAAAAGAAATTCTTAATTCTAATATGAAATGCTAACAATTTGGCTTCAAGCTATACACAGTGTATACTATAAATAATATTTGAACACGGCTTTACTACACACACAACAGACATTGTGACTACCAAATAGGAAATCTGCATAAAATTTGGTAATACCCTTTGAAGTCTATTCTTTGAAGACAGTACTTTAAGTGAAATGAGCTTATTTATAAGTGCTTTTTGTAAATGCTTTTACGGCAGACACATTTCAAATAGCTTTAAATATCATTTCTACCATGCCACTCTAGCAATATGAAATAACCATTTATTAAAGAACTCTTTCTCTATTTAGTAAATGAGATAAAGTTAAACAGTAAGATACATTTCATTAGCCTGTAATAAAAAGAGCATTGAAGAAAAATGTTGTTAAACACACCGATGTAATTTACATTGAATTTTCTGCTGTGATTTAATATACAATCTGTATTTTTATGTACTGTATCTGACAGCTTCTAAATTCATTTGTTTGCTGTGGTTCCTTTAAAACCTAAATTACAGAAAAGTTTCAGCAAATTAGTTGATCCAAATAATCTTACGAACTGATTAAGCTAGAATGGTTTTATTAATTTAGACAAAACTGGCTCCTCTCCATCCCTTTAAGCCGATCTATGAAAAGGCCTACCTGGATGTTAGTCAGAAGGGTCTCTATGGAGGACAATCCATCAGGGAATAGAAAAGGAGATGGAAAACCCGGAGGTAGTGGTTGCCCATGCCCAGTTAGAGAAAGTTTGTCAAGGCTGTCTCTTGCGGTTGGTGTGGAGAGCGGGGTCTCATCTGTATGTGATTGAAACAAAAATATAGAACAAGTTACGCTTGTCTGTTTTTATTAGACCTCAGTAATGGCTTCCCTAGTGGTTTCCAGAACATTTATTGCAAATTGGTTCCTGCTATCAGGAGAAAATGCTTTCTGCTGAATTTTCTTTAATGAAAAAGCTGTGGAGATACAACAAGATAACATTAATGAGTAACTTTATAAGCCTTTTAAATGCAGTCTCTAATGAGACTGAGTTTACAGTGCCATAGAATCTTTTTAAAACAAATATTATCTCACATATACTTGTGATAATATATTCAGGCTGACTTTATGGGCACCTTCCCAATTATCTCATTTTAGTTTGTGTTCTATTTGGATTGACAATAGAATATTTTCTAGCATCACATATATTTTGTATATGAGAAGTATTTTAATACGAGGCTTCCCATACAATTAACCCTTCCCGCTCTTAATGGTTTCACTTACAGCTCAGAAGATTTTGCAACACCAAGAAAAGCTCCTCAATACATTTTTCATCAAGAAAATACACCTGATTGCCACAATTAAAACATGCTCTAAACAGTACATGAAATTAATAGCACAGTAACAATCACTGGCCTGATTTTTTTTTTAAACATGGACATGTTCTAAGAATTAGTGTTGAACTCCTTAGTGGGATCTTTGTAAAAATCAGATCTGATCGCTTCTGACACCACAACGGGAAAAACTTGCACAGCTTTAAGACTTTTAAGATTAAAGTTTCACAGATAATCTGTGAACAGATTAAGAAGTGGAAAAAAAAACAACCAACCCACCCACCCCCCAATTAACAGAAACTTCAACAACCTCATTTGTGGGGTTTTTTTCTTTTTTTTTTTTCTTTTTATTTTCTGGAATACTTTTAGGCTACTGTTGATATGATATAGAAATTTAGGTCAATTTCTTTGCACCAGATGTTAATCTGAATTCTTTAAAAGGAAAACTATCTATACATATATATATACATACATATATCTATACGTACTCTTCTTACCGAGGGCTCAGTCATTAACTTGACCCATATTGGTGTATCCCAGTACAATGCAAGGACATCAGAATGTAACGAAGGTATCACACAGATTCTGCACAGCTGTATGACTACAAAGGAGTTTGTCAGACTCACTTTCTTCCATTTTGGCTTTGGCCATTGTAAGTTACATATCTTTTGAGGTAGTCAAATTTCTATTTATTTATTTATTTATTTATTTATTTTAGTTTCAATAATTATTGTACTTCTCTCTTTACTTTATCAGGTATATTAAAATTATATCTGAAAGTTGATCCTAGTTGCCTAAAAAGAGCTCTCTCTTGGACTGAATGCAGTATTTTCCTAAGTGGACATAGTCTAGGACCACGAAAATTGAAATCTGGGATCTAACAAAAGGTTAGAGCATTGATGACTGCAGGATAGGACATTCATAATGTCCCCATCATTCCAACAGTCCCCATCACTATTCCTACAGATGGAAGCAACCTCTATCAACCACACTCAGGTGCAGATTTCTTGTCCCATTTCCTCACCAGTTCTGTCATGCTGGCCAGTATTTACAGTGCTAAAGTAATAGCTTTTCCGACTATGTCCTTCCACAGAACTATCCAAACAGGCATTTGGACATCCGCTGCTGGGCTGGTCCCACTTAGGTATTTTATAGCCAGTGGAAAGAAGCAGATACTACTTCAAAGTTCATCTGAACTCTCACAGGCATCAACTGCAGAAAGAAGCAAATCTTCCTCTCAAAGATTTCTTCCTGTTGACTGTAAGAGAAACCTAAGATGACCACCTCAGATAGAAAGATCTGTTTTTGGGGAGATCCTGTACTGGGTGCTGTTGTTCCTACTTCTCTGTGGCTCAGGTGGAGGGCAGACTACACAAGGAGGAAGACTGTTCCTTATGCCCTGTTTGTCACAGTTCAAGCCATAATTACTGCTTTTACATAAAGTCATCATTCAAAAGCTTTCCAAGTTGAAGTTCCTGAAAGAAATTAATGTTGACCAAGGGAAACTTCAGACCTTTCAGATCATAAAGGATTTTTTCACCTATATTTAAATTTTCCAATCATGCTACAGAGTACTGAGAAAAAAATGGCTCTAGATCACTGAACCATTTTCTATCTATGTTACTGAGATTCAAAGCAGGCTCTGAAAAATGAACTATGTGGATGTATCCTCTGTACTCATGATACCTCACTGCAGCATGAATAGCTCTGTAGTCATTTTATAGTAACATACTAAAATTTGGCCCTAAATATGAGTATTTCATTTCCAATTTTAAAGTATTATAGAAATATTCACCATATCATTAAAAAAAATGAATTATATATTCCTGGTATTGAAAACTACCTTAGCTTAACTTTTCCACTCCTATTCTAGTGTGAAGAATCATTAGCAAGTGGTTTATTCCAAACTGCTGCCAGAACTGTTATGCTTTCATTAATCAAAAGTAATAAGCCAAAACTTAAACAAAACTAGTTAGACAATATATTTATAAACTGTCCATAATATTATTTTATAGTTGAAAACTTTATTCCTCTAGTGAAAATATGGCTTCCCCAAATGATTTTTACCCAAAATTAAGAAACCAAAAAATTTAAAATAAAAACAAACAAACAAACAAACAAACAAAAAACCACCAAAAAAACCTCTTCCATGTTACATGCTTAAGTTTTTTGGGTAGAGATTTCTTTTATCGGTGGTTGCAGTGAAGGCATTGCTCTTGTGTGATATAGCAGGAAAGAGTGGAGTCACTCGTATGCATGGTGAAGTTGATTCATATAAATGAGAAAAGAAACTGAAAAGACATAATTTTCCTCTAGGTTTGCCAGGTATTGGATCAATAACCTCCTACTTTCCAAGACTACTTGGAATCTTACTGATATTTTAGGTCTCCAATTGTCAAAATATTTTAAGATATACTAGATAAAAGTGACCCACTTAAAATTCCGTAAGCCTTAATTAACTCAAAAACTGCTCTTCCATGCAATGGCTGAAATACAGAAAGCTCCTAACACAGATCTTTTAATATAATTTGAGCAAGGGATCAATTTTTTTTACTGTATCACTACTTTACAATTTATTTAATGTTATGCTGTACTCTGTGCACGCTCAACACATGAAGTTTGCAAAGATTTTTTAACAATGTGGCATGGTTTTGCAATAGGCAAAGAAATTCAGAAAAGATTAGAATGATATGAATTCAAAGTAACATCCAAACCATTATGTTATAATAAATAACAGAAACAAATTTACACTGAAGGGTAGGACTAGAGAGATGAACTTACTCTGAACTTACTTTAATGAAATATCAACTCAGAAACAAAAGTCAGACTAATGTGACTTTGTTTTCTTGATGTCCCATGTGAAATAAACTTTGAGTGCGAGTATGTTTGAAACAGAGCAAATGTACATATTATACACAGGAAGCGTGGATATTTGTGGATGTGAGATAAGCGATGATTGAGGGAATCTTAAAAAAAATGCATTTTTAAGAAAAACCACACTGTAAACACAGCCAATTAAAACATAACTGCATATCTTAGTAGCAAAATAATATGACCTCTTGTTTTTAAAAAATGCAAAAATACTTTATTCTTGCAAAAGTCCTCCTTTCTCTGAGGGATGAGATATCTTTTGTTTCTAAATAATCACTAGCTTAACATCTTTTAAACTGTTGCAAAGGAACTACTAATGCTCCTCTTACACTACTAGAACAGCAATGCTGCAAAATGATGAGCCCTTGCTGGGAAACAGAGATTTGGTATTTTCAGTCTAAACACATCAAAGGAAGCGTTAGAAGAGAAGTCAGGGCAAAAGGGGAAATAGGGTCAATCTACAACTCCATTGTCAGACTGGGGAGCACAACGATGAAAAGAAAGAGGGTGGGGAAAAGAAAGAACAAGGCAGAACAAAGAAGTGTCCAGGCCTGCCTTGGTTTGTGCTGGGAACTGAGATGTTATAAATTAACAAATAAACAAGGATACGACAAGCTGTTACCCAAGCCTCTACAGTATCCAGGCAGAGATGAATATGTGTCTTGACATATGAACTAAATCACCATAATAGGCAAGTCTGAATGCGACACATATCTTTAAAATATTTGTAAATGCTACAACCACTCCATCCATTGTTCCTCAATTTCCAAAATTCACCTGGTTTTGTTCAAACCAGATTTTATCTGTAAACAGCAGCTGGTTTGGGCCAAATACAACAAACATATTTCACTGTATTTGGTTTGTTGCCATTCTATTTTATTCTTTCACCAGATAACATGGAAACAGACATCCTGGAAGCTGTGACAGCTATTTAAACAATAATAGATGAATAGAGGTAGCCATTCTCTTGTCTCTGTTCTTAAAAGCAAGTAGGATAAGTTCAGACCAGTCACCAGTCAAACTGGAAAATATTGATATTGCCAGGATTTGAAAGCAAGCAATAATAGCTGGCTGAAAAAAATTCTATACAGATTACTGCCATTCTGTAATCATGTCATGCTTTTTTTGTACTGCATCTTGAGGCTTTCTGTTCTCTGCAACATATTCCATACGTATTTGTTCCTAACACAGGCTCGCTCTTACCATTTGAATGATTAAAGAGGATTCTACTTTCACTTTTTATTACCATAAATCTAGGGCATACACTTTTTTCTACATTGCAGAAAAAATCTATTCCATTTGGCTTAGTACTATTTTGGTCTATGTTGTCAAACACTCTTTAGCACAAAGCTTTATATTTCACCTTTGTCGCTTTTAGAGGTTTAAAGTGGGAGAAACTTTTCTGTTTTAATTGATCTGTATGTAATTCTTGATTTATATTAACACAAAAGAACAAGGGGTTCCCTATTCTCAATTGAAATGTTTAATAGTTTCAGGCAGATAAAAACAAAGAACGAAATGAAGAAATAAATAAAATCCTCTTGACCAGTTCCCATACAATTTGGCTGCTTTATAGATTTGGTCATTCAAGATTAACCCCACAGGTAACTAGG